GCGTGTTTTCGCTGCGCTTTTCGCTTGGCGGGGTCAGGGGCGAAAACACGAATGGCACAAATCAGCCACCATAACATAGTCATTCTTTCGCATCTTTACGGTCTTTTACGTAAAATTTCGGATTATAATTAGTATTCGGCTAAGCTTTCCTTGGATTTAATAAATAAAGATGCTATTTCGTGATCATGCGTGAATGTCGTTACATATACATGATATATTTTCAATATTCTATTAGTTAAACATATTCTGTGTGGTACCAAGCCCTTCAGCCAAAGGCACTCCACTGAAGTTTTTAGACATGACGGGACTGGAAATATTTTTCCGAGATTTGTGTAGGTCAGGACCAATAACTTGTGTGCAAATTTTCAGGATATTCCCTTATCTCATTTTTCAATAATAATTATTCTTATTGTGCAAAAATGACCCCCAAAATGGAAAGCGTTGCAACGCTTTCACTTTAATTCGGCTAAGAATCGCAAAAGTCAATTCAATTTAATTCTGATTATATTTCTTTGTGATCCTTGTTAGAGTTATCCAGTTATAATGTTATTCACTAGATATTTGTAAGATTTCAAATGCATTTTGATTTACATCAGTGGAGTACTTTTAAAGACCAGTTAAAATGGAGAGAATGAGAACGAGGGAGAATGAGTACAAAGAAAATAAAATAGTTATGCATTTCCAAGGTGCTAACTAAGGTGTACACAGTTTTACTTTAGGTACAACAAAGCCGGCAATGGGTTTGGAACATTCAAGTTTACATTCTGCTTTAACGAGTAATATTTCAGTTATTTATAATCAAAATACGTTTTTGGTTATAAGTTAATCGGGTCGTTTTTTTATTGAAAGTAGAATTGAAAGTAGAATTTCTAAAACAAAGCAAGTCTTATATGATGGCAATCTGTATTGCAAATAGAAAATGTCTATAAAACATCTATATGTATCTTTAAAAATTCGGTACATTCCGCCATTTTTCGTCCTTTTCCGTAATGCATGAATAATGGACAGGAGTTCCGAATGTTCCCGCGTCATATACTAACTTAAAGTTAATAAAGCTATATATCTAATGCAAAAAAAAAATATTGTTTGAATTTTAAAAAAAGTATACTTCCAAGGTATGCGAAGTATGAAATAAATATGGTAATTTATTGCCTTAAAAGCGAATGGTGCATGCACAAAATTATTGCTAAACGGATAAAGCAATACTTTAAATAGCAAAATAATAGTTTGATCCGGAACTTTTTATTCTGTTTACGAACATTATTCATGTGATACGTGAACAATGTTTCACAATAGAGACGTTCTATGCAACAACTTTTTCGGGAATCAACCATATAAAAATTGAACCAATATAATTTTACTGTTGATTAATCTTATTAAAATATTTCACAAGATATAAATTTATACCCTTTAATCTTCACACAATAAAACATTTGGTAAATAGACTTACGATCATTATTCATGGACGGAAACCATAAAATGAGGCGGAACCCGTAATCAAAGGAGCCGCGTCACGACAAAACCAACATAGTGCGTTTGCGACCAGCATGGATCCAGACCAGCCTGCGCATCCGCAGTCTGATCAGGATTAATGATGTTCGCTTACAAACCCTATAACAAGTAAAGAAACTGATAGCGAACAACATGGATCCTGATCAGACTGCGCGGATGCGCAGGCTGGTCTGGATCCATGCTGGTTGCAAACCAATTATGTTGGTTTTGTCGTGACGCGGCTCAAATAAGCTTCAGCATGTCAATGAGCAAACAAAAAGTCTTGCCATCTGAAACGCTTTAACAATATAATCCTATATAATAAATTGACCGAATTGTTATCTCGGGTACTGATGCACGAAACACCTTTATCGGAGAGAAATTTCAATTGTATAATCTCCAGCCGGATTTCCAACAGACAATCTGATCGGCTTAATTGAGCTTAAAAATCGATTTCTTAATGCCTAATCAGCATATGCAAAGCAGCATGAGTCCAGATCCATGCTCGTTAGCCACGAAAATTATAGAAATGTATGTAAAAGTAAAATATTATTAAGGGAACAAAGAGAGTGATTACCTTCTCCCTCACTTCGTTCGTCCGAAAATAAATTATTTCTTTCCTAAACCATATAAAACAAACCAATAAATAAGAAAACTCAGATAAGGTTCTGTCGATATGGGTTTACTAAAGCTAGCTCATATGCATATTTTTACAGCAATACATCACACAATATAATGTCATATCAAAGGAACGCCTTAATTAGTACATAGCATTCAAATATATATAAATACTTCTGTTATATAGCAACAACATGAATAATGTTGATTATAATTGAACTACAAGAAAAGCATTGATGCAAAGCATCAAAGGGCGTCCATGCAAGAAATGCAGTAAGTGAAGATGAACTAGTAGACATCTGATGACTAGATATTCTTATAAACGTTTCAATGGTTAATTGGTTTTTACCAGAATTGTATAACATTTATGAATGGGCGGACGAAAGACATTGTTCATCATGAACTATGGTAGGCATACTAGAAATTAGAATATTTATTTTTTCCTCAGGCACTTTAAATTCTATCAATATTAACGATTATATCCAAAATATACTGGTTATATCCAAAGTGCTTTTAGTTGTTTGAATATGTTTCATTTTTCATATTTCATTTCCTGCAAATTTCTCAAGTTCCGTTATTTATAACCATAGCTCGACACGAATGACGTTTCGTTAAACGAAACTACTTCAATAAATAGATTTTCGGACTTTCACAATGTTAAGGTCATCATTCTATTTATAGGTACAGTATAGTCTTCATATTTGGTATTTAGATTGGTCATGGTTAGTAGATGATCCCTATTGATTTTGAAGTCAAAGGTCAAGGTCACAGGGGCCTTGATTTCAAAAAGCGTGTCCGCCCAATAACTTAAGATTCCTTTGACCCACAGTCTTGATATAACATCATTTACCAAATATCAAAGCTCTAGTTTAAACATATTTTATTGTATATATACACATACATAAATTTTCACAATTATACATAAATACATTAATGTAAATATACAAAAGGGTTAGGCTAAAAGTTATAACAACATTATCGGGGGCTCTCCCCTCAAAGATCTAAGCCTTATATCTTCAGAAAAGGGCTTTTCATTTAGCTTTTACAAAATGTACATAATGACCACCGGGCTACAATTTGAACAGTTTTTGTTGTTTCATCAGATGATGTAACAGATAAAATATCTGAGCTCTATGCCATGCACATTCAGAGAAGATTTTTAAAGATTTCATTTTAAACAAGCAAATTCTTGAATTTATATCCCCCACCGAGTACTGGTTATTACTAACACAACAACTGGATACTTATAAGGCTTTATTTACCTAAATTTATCATGACGTGCAAGTTTCATTTTCGTATTGATGATTCCCATAAAGTCTTGTTGAAATCAATCCAGCAGTTTCAAAGAAATAGGAATATTGCTCTATATGCATACTGCAAACTAACCAAGGACCATAACTCTGTCTTGAAGGCTCTGACGGGAACAAGGCAATGACTTGCGCATCTCCTCTTGGTATTGATTGTTCCAATAGTTTCCTTGAATTCCAGCCAGTAGTTACAGAGAAATAGCAAGGAAACGATTATTACTCTATATGCATACTGCATAACCAATCAAGGGTCATAACTCTGTGTTGTAGAGTCTTAGTGGAACAATGCAATGATAAGCACATCTCCTCTTGGCATTGATGGTTCCCATAAGATTTTGTTGAATTCTGGCCCATAGTCGCCGAGAAATAGTGTGGAAACGATAATTGCTCTATATGCATTCTACATAACTAATCAAGGGCCATAACTCTATCTTGAAGGGGCTGACCAGAACAAGGCGATGATACGCACATCTCTGGATATTGAAGGTTCCCATAAAGTTTCATTGAATTCCAGTCGTTACTTGCAAAGAATGCCACAGAAAAAAAAATTGACCTATATAAATACTGCTTACAAATCAAGGGCCATTACTCTAAGTTAAATGGTCTGACCGGAACAAGGCGATGATATGCCCTACTCTTAGAATAGACAGTTTCCATAAAGTTTTGTTGAATTTCAGCCAGTTGGTGCAGAGAATTAGCGCAGAAACTATTATTGCACTATATGCATACTGCATAACTAATAAAGGGCCATATCTCTTAGTTAAATGGTCTGACCGGAACTAGGCAACGATTTGCGCATCTCATCTTGGTATTGAATGTGTCCATAAAGTTTCATTAATTTCCAGAAAGTAGTTGTAGAGAACTTACGTGGAAACGACAAATGGGCCGGATGGAAGGACGGACAGTCGGACAAATGGGCCGGATGGAAGGACAGACGGAAGCCCGGACGGATGGACAACACCAAAACAATATCCCCCTCCCGTTTCCATCGGGAAAGGGGGATAAGCATCTATTTTTAGCCCTCATGACCCAGATGTTCAATGAGCAGAGCCATTTAAAGAATTTTATTAATTTTATTTGGGCTTCCTTTTAGGAACATCCTAGGAATACTTCAAAAAGTTTGGCCCAATAAATATTTAAAATGTTTACTAAAATATATCCAATTTTTAATGATATGATAAGCACACACAAATTTCCCAAATATAAGCAATATGGTCATTTCTAACAACAAGAGGGCCACGATGGCCCTGAAATCGCTCACATGTATTAAGGTCCCTGGGCCTAGGCCAATTTTAAACCAGGGGCTTTTATTTAGACAAACTTGGTAGATATTCAAAAGAAGATATTGCATGCTTAGTATCTAAACTCTAGCTCTTTGAGTTTTTTATAAGAAAGTTTTTTTAAGTTTTTATTATACACATATAAGGAAAATCAATGACCGCCGGGGCAGAGCCAATTTAAACCCCAGGGCTCTTATTTGAACAAACTTGGTAGACGTTGTTACATGAAGAAGGTGTTTCATGCTTAATATCTAAGTTCTAGATATTTTTTTTTTTAAAGATTTTGTAAGGTTTTTACTATATAAAAAATAGGGAAATCAATGACTCCCTCGGGCTGGGCCAATTTTTACCCCAGGGCTTTTATTTGAACAAACCTGGTAGACACCCACTAGAAGATGTTTCATGCTTTATATCTAAGCTCTAGCTATTTGGGTTCTTTAAAAGAAGATTTTGTAAGTTTTTACTATATACAAATAAGGAAAATCAATGACCCCCTGGGGCGGGGCCAATTTTTACCCTAGGGCATTTATTTGAACAAACTTGGTAGACACCCACTAGAAGATGTTTCATGCTTCAAATCTAAGCTCTAGCTTTTTTTGTTTTTTAAAAGAAGATTTTTTAAGTTTTTATTTTATACAAATAAGGAAAATAAATGACCCCCTGGGGCGGGGTCAATTTTTACCCCAGGGTTTTTATTTGAACAAACTTGGTAGACACCCACTAGAAAATGTTTCATGCTTAATATCGAAGCTCTAGCTATTTGGGTTCTTTAAAAGAAGATTTTGTAAGTTTTTACTATATACATGTACAAATAAGGAAAATCAATGACCCCCTGGGGCGGGGCAAATTTTTACCCCATGGCTTTTATTTGAACAAACTTGGTAGACACCCACTGGATGATGTTTCATGCTTAATATCTAATCTCTAGCTATTTGGGTTCTTTAAAAGAAGATTTTTAAGTTTTTACAATATACTAAAAAGGAAAATCAATGACCCCAAGGCCAATTTTGACCCTAGGGCATTTATTTGAACAAACTTGATAGACACCCACTAGAAGATGTTTCATGTCAAATATTTAAGCTCTAGCTCTTTCGGTTTTCTAAAAATAGATATTCTAAGTTTTTTCTTTCAGTTGCCATGGCAACCAGAGTTCTGCTTGGAATTAAATTCTTTGAACAATTTTTAAAGTTGACTACCAAAGGAACATTCCTGTGAAGTTTGGATGAAATTGGCTTAGCTGTTTATGAGGAGATGTCGTTTAAAGTAAAAGTTTGCGGATGGCCGGACGAAAGGCGATCACAAAAGCTCACCATGTCACTTTGCGACAGGTGAGCTAAAAAATCATGCTAAAAATAACTGCTACGAAATAATTATTATACATCAAACATTGAATATTATACAATAATTCAAACCAAAAAAATTACATTCATATGGGTTACTAAGTACATATATTCAACACTATACAACATGCCAACGTCTTATTCACCCTACATCTATATGAACTTAAGAGTTCGCTTACAAAGGAAACACTGTCTCCCTTTAACATTAATTACCAATTTTTCTTTAACTTCATTATCAACATCAACATCACTGCCAACACTATTTCTTAAACTCCTTCGGGTGCATTCTTTTAATATGTCTTAAAAGAATACCGTTTGTTTTAGAATTTGTTCCACAGAATTGACAGGTATGTTTTTGTACTGTGAAGTTTTTGCTTAGTTTCTCCAGATGGATCCTTTTGACATGTTTTATGAGGTCAGTATGTGTTTTAGAACTTTTCTTGCAGAATTGGCATGGGAACTTCCTTTCCAATGAATGAATCAGTCGATGGTTTATAAGATAGTTTTTGGTTGCAAATGATTTCTTGCATATCTCACACTGAAAATCTTTCTTTCCCCCATGTGCAGATACTGTATGCAAGTGTAAAGCTTCCTTTCTTGGGAACCCTTTCCCACAAGACGAACACGTGAATGGCAACGTGTTACTGTGTAGAAGTTGGTGCCTCTTTTCACCTTTCCGAGAAGCAAATTCTTTCTTGCATATTTCGCAACTAAACTGCTTGCCAAGAACATTAGGTGCTTTTTCTTTTTGCTTTAATTCAACTGTAATATTATTACAATTAGTTTTAATTTCAAAGGCCTTCTCTTGATCCATATCTTCCTCAGTATATTTGGAACTCCTATAGTCTATACCATTACTTGTTTTAGCCAAGTCATTATTTGCATTTCTGTCTTCCTGGTCAGAGTTCTTTTCTTTATTCAAATTCCGATCCCTTTCTTCGTCTAATTCCTCTATCTGGTTTTCTAAACCATTATCTACAACATCATTATCATTTTCACCAGTATCATCTTCAAAGTGAATATCATTCGTTTTTAATGTATCAGATTTCGAAAATGATGATTTTGACAACAAATGCTTCGCTTTTATGTGTTTTCTAACATCGCTTCTGTTTTTGTACGTTTTCTCACAAGTGCCACACTTAAACTGTCTAAATTTTGTATGACTTATTCTATGTTTTTTCATATAATGATTCGTTGCAAATGTTCTTTTGCATACATCACACTCAAATAATTTCTTGCCTGTATGGACATTTATCACATGTATATTTAAATAATCTTTTCGAGGGAAGCCTTTCTTACAAACTGAACAAGCATAGGGTAACTTGTCACTATGTGAGTACATATGTCTCTTAAAATTACCGTCAGAAGTGAAAGTTTTGTGACATATTTTACAACTATTTTTAGTAACCCTTTGACATTGCTTATCCTTTAACTGTGATGCTACGTCATGTATTTCTATTGTTTGAACGCAATCAACATTATCTACAGCTGTAGCATTTTCTTTATCACTTACCCCATTAATACCAGTCCTATCTTGACTTTTTTTACTTTTTAAAAGTTCTGAACTTTTGACACAATTATCCATCACATCAGTTAGCATGTGTGCAGTTCTTTCATCAGAATCTAAATCAGTTGCTCTATTCAAATTGCTGTCACTATCAAATGACACACCTATTGTATCATCATCTGCCTTATTTATTTTCCCTTCATTATGTCCTTGTGCTTTGTTAGCAATCTTTTCACAAGCTTCCAATCCACTTAATCCGACTTCCAGCGAATCTTCATCATTCCTCATAGCAGGGGTTAAATCTGATTTATCCTGAGATTTAGATACCTTAGCATGACTTCTTTTAGCATGTTTATCACGATCATGTTTTGTTTTAAAAGTTTTCGTACATAAATCACATTGAAAATTTCTAACATTTACATGCCTTGCTTTATGATTTTTCAAGTCATTTTTTGTAGCAAATGCCTTATTGCATACTTCACACTCAAATGTTTTTTCTCCACTATGGGCATTTATCATATGTAATTTCAACTGATCATTTCTCGAGCAGCCCTTGTCACATACTGAACAAGTATAGGGAAAAATGTCATTATGCAGGATCGAATGTCTTCTTCTATGATACAACTTTGAAAAAGTTATCTGACAAATTTCACAAGTAAGACTGGTATTTAAATCCTTCTGCCCTTGTTTTGTCCTGATCTTTGGGTAAATTCTTCTTCTTCTATTGCCATTCGATTCAGTCACGCTCAAAATGTTCACATCTGTGTCTGTTAAATTCTCTTTATCATCAATGGTCACAGAACGTTCATTTACATAATTGTCACCGTTACGAGATTCACCTTCATTTGCATTATTACCACTGTTGCCAACACCTAGATCCTCATAACCTGTAAGATCTGATTTACGTCCAGGTGTTTGGATCTGTGAATGATTATGTCTCCTCATATGCTTTTGTAGATCATGTTTTGTTTTAGATTTTTTCAAACAAATATTACATTGAAAATTTCGTATGTTTGTGTGTCTGACTTTATGACTATTCAACAAAAACTTCCTTGCAAAAGATTTCTTACATATATCACATTCAAATAATTTAATTCCCGTATGAGCATTTATCATGTGAATCTTTAGGGATTCTAAACGCGGAAAGCCTTTTTCACACACTGTACATACATGTGGCATTTTTTCACAATGTAAAATCATGTGTGTCTTCAAAAAACTCGGGCAACTAAACATCCTACCACATATTCTACATACATTACTGTTGTTTGCTGATGCTATTTCTTGTCTTTGTTGTGAGTTAACTACATGCACCGTGTTACTTTGTTCTAATATTTCATCTACATTCTTAACGCGTTTTAAATCATCCTCACTAGCAATTACAGTCTCTACATTGGTTGTTTTAGTTATACATGTAATATCTTCTTTATTCACTCTTTGATTCTCATTTTTGTCAAAGTCATCAATACCAGCTTCATACACCTTTCTATTTATATCCACATTTCCAGAGTCTTTTGACCTCAAATCATTATCACTGTCCACGATTGTATCGTGTATTTTACTTTTTGTATTTGCCAAAACAACTGTGTCTGATGAAACACTATTTTTACTATTACCACCTTTCGCAGCTGTTTTCCTTTTTGTAAAGGTTTCTTGAAACAATGCAAAGATTGCTGTCTCGGGGTCAACGCTTACTTTCTTTGTTTTACTTTTCCCTGAATGTTTGCTACTTATATGATGTTTAAGCCCTCTTTCTGTTTTGTAAGTATTCCCGCATGTAAAGCATAAACAACTACTGCCAGATAATCCATTTGTTCCAAGTTCCTTCGAAATCTTGTTTGTTGCAAAACTCTTTTCATCGTCCTGGTCCTGAATGCTATTACTTTCCTCAGAGTTTCTAATGGCTATTTCATCTACGGATCTACCATTTTCAAACATACCTTTTGATTTATTTATTGGATTACTTAAAGACTCTCTGAATATTTCAACAGCGTCACTTTTATTTTCGGCAGCAAATTGTGCATATGTTGTCTTCAATTTATCACAGTTAACAAAGTTTGGATCCTCATGCAGTTTTGGCACATGGACTTTTTTGATATGCTTTGAAAGATCACCCTGACTTCTGTATCTTTTCACACAAATACTACACGAGAAATTTTTCACTGAGGAATGTCTAAGTTTATGTTTTTCTAAATATTGTTTCTTGGCAAACAATTTCTTACACACATCACACTGGAAAGATTTTTTCCCATTATGAACAGTTATCAAATGGTTTTGAAATACATCACTGCGCTTAAATCCACGTTTGCATAATGAACAGGTAAACAGACAATAGTCACTGTGAACAAACATATGTCTCTTAAGGTGACATGCATTTTTAAATTCTTTGTTACAAACTGTGCATTTATGCGAGTCTCTCCTTTTAATTTGTATCTCTTGATCTTCATTCATTACACCATTAGTTGTTTGATTTGCACAATTTTCATCAGCAGTTGTTGCAGGCAAGTCCATCAAATGACTCTCAGTAAGCTCAGGCAAGTATTCTGAAGAATCTTTGTTGACAGCAAGTTCAAGCAAATCTTTTGAAGGAATTTCATTGGTAGTAGAATCTTGGAAGTCAGCCAACTCTTTCTCAGGACTTTCATTTACAGTAAGCTCAGGAATGTCCTTTGAATGACACTTCTCCGCATTTTTTTCAGATAGGTTCAGTGAATGACTTTTAGAAACAGTAACATGAGGCAAGTCCTGTGTATTACTTTCATTCGTTATACGCTTAGGTAATCCTTTTGTCTTCTTTGATTTTTTTACATACTCAAAACAGCCATTGTGTACTTTTTGTAGATGGTCCCTCAAGTCCCACTTATCATGGAATTTTTCCTTGCACTGATTACAATCAACGTTTGCCTCATGGAAATGATTCTTAATATGAGTAATCAGCCTATTTTTTGATGAAAATTTTTTGGAGCAAGTATCACACCGGTAATACCCGTGTTCTAAATCAACATGAGTCTGCAAAGATCTTAGACTGATAAATCGTTTACAACATATGGAGCAATACAAATGTTTGTCCAGGACATGAGAGTAAAAGTGTACTTTCAATTTTGTTTTGTTAGAATAGGATTTTGAACAAATGCCACAAATAAACCTTGTCCCAATTTCCTTAAACAAATTTGTATAAGAATAGCCTTCTGGCAGGTCGTCATTTTTCTCACTATTTAGTGAATGGTCACTTTCTGTAGCTTTGTTTTCTGTATTGGTGGACGAAGTGGAATACAAATAAAGTAACATTTCAATGGTTGGTTTTGTCTTAAATTTTGCATTCATTTTCTGTTCAGTTTTCAAATCAACAAAATCTAAATATTCATCAATATATTGTTTATTTTCAGCTGCCTTTTGTTCTTCTGTAATAAATACACTCTGATGCTCACTCAAGTCATAAGTTAAGTGTTCAATAGGTTTATCAACCAACTTGTCTACTTTTTCATTGTGATTGGTATTATCAACCATATCTTCATTTATGTCATCCACATCCATCTCAATAACCAACTTGTCTTCTTTTTTACTATGATCAATATTATCAGGCATATCTTCATTTATGTCATCCAAATTCATCTCAATTACCAACTTGTCTTCTTTTTTACCATGATCAATATTATCAACCATATCTTCATTTATGTCATCCAAATCCATCTCAATAAATTCATTAATGTTATCCTCAAGGGAAGACTGGGCAAGCTTTTGTAGAAACTGCACCATATTATTAGCAGCTTCATTATCTTCTACTGATTCAAAATTCTGTTCAAAAATATCGGTCATGTCATCATTTATGACTAACTGGTTTACTGGTTGAGGCTCTAAGACATTTTCTTCAACTAATTCATCACCATTAAAGCTTTGTTGTAACCAATAGGCCTTTTCACTCTGGCCAGGTTTTAATGTTTTATCCATTGCGGACAAGTCTTGTTACTGAAAAAGAAAAAGCATATTGTTAAAGGAACTCCACTGAGGTAAAAAAGCAAACAAAGTGAGGCACTTCAAACGGAAAACTCTGCAAAGGATAATAAAGAAATATGCACAGAATTAAATTGGAAATCAATTTTTTGGCAACACTTTTCATTTTTGGTTATTTTGTGCAATAAAATGATAATTCTGGAAAAACCGGGAGAGGAAATAATCTGAAAATGTGCATTAATGTTATCAGTCTAGACATATATCAGCATTAATGGTACACAAATATAAATATGGGGGGGGGGGGTTGGTCCCATCAAGTCGAAAAACCTCAAAGGAGTCCCTTAAAGATGCATTATTTAATATCAGACAATCACACTATGCTTCAGAAATAAATAATTTGTTAATTCTCAGGAGGATAAAGCATTCAAAGAATGGTTTTAGAGCATGATTGAATGGTTTTAGAGCATGATTGATGCTTATTACCTTAAATAAGCACTGAATGTAAAATTATAGGTGACCCATATTCGAACTTGACCTAGAAATCATCAAAACAAACTTGCAGACCAATTTCCAGAATATTTGAATAACAACAGTAGCCACTAGAGAGTTAACAAGATTTTTCTATTTTTAGTCCCTGTGACCTAGTATTTCATCCAAGATACCCATGTTTGAACTCATACGAGCATAACTCATAACTAGAAAAGCATCCTGACCGAGTTTGATGACAAATGAGTCAAAAATATTACCACTACTAGAGTGTAAACAAGTTTTTTTCCTAATTGTGTGACCTAATTTTTGACCCCAGGTGACCCATATTCGAACTTAAGTTAACCTAGAAAATATCAAAACAAACTTTCAGACTAATTTCAAGTGATTTTTTATCAAAGCAGTAGCTACTAGAGTGTTAACAAGATTTTTCTATTTCTAGCTCCTGTGGCCTACTTTTTCATCAATAGCTACTAAAGTGTTTACACAGTTTTTCCATAGATTGGCGGTGTGATCTAGTTTTTGACCCCAGGTGACCCATATTCAAAAAAACTTGACCTAGAAATCATCAAAACAAACTTTCAGACCAATTTCCAAGATATTTGGATCAAAACAGTAGCCACTGGAGTGTTAACAAGATTTTTCTTGCATATCAGACAGGATTATCTACCATTTACACCGGTGCTAGAAAACTCTGTCTTACACCCCCAATGTAAGACAAGTCGCGTGCTGTTAATGACGTAATTGATGCGCGCCTTTTATGAATGAATTGCGTTCTAAGGATGACGTCACTTAACCATCATGAATGAATTGTACGTTCATACGCTACTATAAGAAACAAGAGCCCGGTATGAGCCGGGTGATGCTCCCCGAACAGGTTTTGGACACAGGAAAGTACACCTCTTGTAGTTTCAGAGTTATGTCCCTGGAAAAAGTTCAGAGTGCAATAATTCCAAAATTAGGCAAGGCAGAGTTACTGTTCTTTGCACTGCACTTCTAATCAATGTGATCTATCAACCTACAAAGTTTCTTGATGATACCTCTTATGATTTCTTAGTTATGTCCGGGACAACTTCAAAAAGTAACAAGAGCGATCAGTAATCACATGTGTCGCCAAATAATGGCCAATTTCATGTTGGGACAAATTTTGTGACAGACGGACAGACAGACAGACAGTGCACAACTAGACTTGGTACTGATCAATCATGTAAAGTTTGGATAAAATTGCACCAGTAGCTTATGAGGAGTAGTCCGGACAAGCTTTTGCGTATCTGGCAACACACAGAAAAAAATACCTTTTTATCAAAGGGCCATAACTCAGCCAAAAATCATTCAACCGGAAAACCCGTGCAATATGCGCAGGACTTGAGCTACAGATCAATCCTGTAAAGTTTCATTGAAATTGCATAAGTGGTATAAGAGAACTAGTCCGGACAAACTTTAAAAATAAAAATAATTAAAGGGCCATAACTCTGACAAAAATCATTGAACCGGAAAATTCTGACAATATGCACAACTAGACTTGGAACTGATCATTCCTGTAAAGTTTGGATGAAATTGCATCAGTAGTTTATGAGGAGTAGTCCGGACAAGCTATTGTGTATCTGGCAACACACAGAAAAAAACACCTTTTTATCAAAGGGCCATAACTCGGCCAAAAATCATTCAACCGGAAAACCCTTGCAATATGCGCAAGGACTTGAGCTACAGATCAATCCTGTAAAGTTTCATTGAAATTGCATTAGTGGTATAAGAGAAGTAGTTATGACAAACTTTAAAATTAAAAATTATTAAAGGGCCATAACTCTGACAAAATTCATTGAACCGGAAAATGCTGACAATATGCACAACTAGACTTGATACTGATCATTCCTGTAAAGTTTGGATGAAATTGCACCAGTAGTTTATGAGGGGTAGTCCGGACAAGTTTTGTGACGGACGGACGGACAGACGGACGGACGGACGGACGGACAGACGGACAGACAGACGACGGAGAAGTGATCCCTATATGTCGCCACTACTCCGTAGAGGCGACACAAAAATAAACAAAGGGCAATAACTCCAGAATTAGGCAAGGCAGAGTTATGATTATTGTGCACTGCACATTTACCCATTGAGATATATCTACCTACAAAGTTTCATGTTGATATCTCTTATAGTTTTACAGCTATGTCCTGGACAAGATTTTTCTAAAAGGGGAGATAATTAAAAAATGATGCTTAACAGAGTTATGGTACTTTTGCACTGCACCTCTTCTCAATGAGATCTATCTACCTACAATGTTTTATCTTGATATCTCTTATAGTTTTAGAGTTATGTTCCGGACAAACTTCAAAGCGTTAAAATTAACAAGGGCAATAACTCCAAAATTAAGACAAAAAGCGTTATTGTTTTTATTCACTGCACATCTACCCATTGAGATCTTTTCACCTACAAAGTTTCATGTTGATATCTCTTATAGTTTTAGAGCTATGTCCCGGACAAGATTTTTCTATAAGTGGAGATAATTCAAAAACCGGGCAAAATAGAGTTATAGTTCTTTGACACTGCACTCCCCCTCAATGCCCTCTACCATTGTATAAAGTTTCAACAAATTATCTCCAAGGGTTTTCAAGTTATGCTCCGGACAAGACAACGGACGGACAGACGGACGGCCGGACGGACAGACGGACGGCCGGACGGACAGACGGACAAGAAGCCGACCATATGCTCCCCCGAAATTTTTTGGGGAGCATAAAAAGTCCGTAATGAGAATAACAGCTTTCGTAATTTCTGTTCTGAAAATAATTGATATACAATATGCAAGAAAAAGAATCAAACACCGGTTGTCGGTACAGACGGGAATATCTAGCTCTCAGGTAACTGTTTAGCGGAAACTCGGCAGAGCCTCGTTACCGCCGTTAACAGTCACCCTCGAGCTAGATATTCCGGTCTGTACCGGCAGCCGGTGTAAGATTCTTATATTCTATTTTTAGATCCTGTGACCTAGTTTTTTTATCAAAGTTTGATGATGATTGTGGCAAAAATGTGACAACTAGAGTGTTAGTGAACAAATGTGGACGGACAACAAATGACGGACGATGCCTACAAGCGATGGTCATTCAACGATCCTAAAAGCTTACCCTGAGCTAGCTCAGGTGAGCTAAAAACATCTTTTTATATGCCCGAAAGAACTTTGGGCACATTATGTTATACCCCTTGGCGTCTGTCTGTCCGTCCGTCTGTTAGCAATTTGGTTTCCAGAGCATAACTTAAATTCCATTTGGCCCACAGTATTCAAACTTCATAGGATGATTGCCCATATTGGGAAGATGACCCCTAGTGTTTTTGAGGTCACAAGGTCAAAGGTCAAGGTCACTATTACCCTAAAACTGAAAATGGTTTCCGGAGCATAACTTAAGTTCCATTTGGCCCACAGTTTTCGAACTTCATAGGATGATTGTCCATATTGGGTAGAAGAATCCTATTGATTTTGGGGTCACAAGGTCAAAGGTCAAGGTCACTATTACCGTAAAACTGAAAATGGTTTCCGGAGCATAACTTAAGTTCCATTTGGCCCACATTATTCAAACTTCATAGGATGATTGCCCATATTGGGTAGAAGACCCCTATTGATTTTGGGGTCACAAGGTCAAAGGTTAAGGTCACTATTAGCTAAATACTGAAAATAGTCTCCGGAGCATAACTGAAGTTCCATTTGGCCCACAGTATTCAAACTTCATAGGATGATTGTCCACATTGGGTAGAAGACCCCTATTGATTTTGGTGTCACAAGGTCAAAGGTCAAGGTCACTATTAGCTTAATACTGAAAATGGTTTCCAGAGCATAACTTAAGTTCCATTTGGGCCACAGTATTCAAACTTCATAGGATGATTGTCCATATTGGGTAGAAGACCTCTATTGATTTTTGGGTCACAAAGTCAAAGGTCAAGGTCACTATTACCCTAAAACTGAAAATGGATCTGCAGCATAACTTAAGTTCCATTTGGTCCACAGTATTCAAACTTCATAGGATGATTGTCTATATTGGGTAGAAGACCCCTATTGATTTTGGGGTCACACGGTCAAAGGTCAAGGTCAGTATTACCCTAAAACTGAAAATGGTTTCCGCAGCATAACTTAACTTCAATTTGGCCCACAGTATTCAAACTTCATAGGATGATTGTCCATATTGGGTAAAGACCCCTTTTGATTTTGGGGTCACAAGGTAAAAGATCAAGGTTACTATCACCTTTAAACTGGAAACAGTTTTCACTCAATAACTCAAGCATTAATCCACCTACAGCTGTAAAATTTTATAGGATTCACAGCTTTATACCCCTGACGTCTTTTCGTCCATCCGTTGTAGCATTTTTACTTACAAGATAACAACTTGATGGTGGTGCTTTGAAAACAGCAACTGTATATATATACATGAATGTTCTTCAGCTATAAAGGAGGATTGATTTTTGAAGGAGGTAATACTGTATTTAATTCCCATGTCTTACAAATGCTTCATCCTTACTAAAAGAACAAGAATCTGTGTTTG